ACATTTTATTTGAGAAATCTACTTTCATTTGATTCTAACATAAAATTTTATTGTTCATTAGTGACAATTTATAGCCCTAACATATTGAGGAAGCAGTTTGGCAGTGTGGTATAATATAATTATTATTCACATATCATCTATAAAATCTTCAGCCCACTAGCCTGTCAGAAATAAACAGCACCAGCCAAACATGCCTCTTAATTGTACCATGTCTCTTTCCTGAAAAAGCCTCTTCTCCTCTAATGTTAATAACATTACTAATGCTTCCTGGAAGTGAATGGCATCCAGCTCTTGAGTGCTCAGGGATCCCATTAGCTATGTTGTCAGACCCTGAAAACCATGAATGTGAAGAGTTCTCTGCTCTGAGAAAAGAGGGACTGTACAATGTAGTAGCATAGCAACATGTCAATACAGAAATGGAAAACCTCTTTGGAGTTTCTTATTTGTGGTTGGACATAATGTTAAATTATCAGAATAATTTTCAACAGTTAAAAGTATGAACAGAAATAAACTTAAATAATAAAGTTATAAATAAAGAAAGTCAAGATCTTTTTTCACACAGTAGAACTTTCAAACACATTACTGCCAGTTAAGGGAATCCTATTCTGATCACTTTACCAAATCCATATAGGTTTTTACCAAAATGCAACTCAATAAAGTGAGAACATAATGATGTCTTTGAAACACCACTGCTTAAGAGTAGTGTTTTATAATAGATAGTAAATAATTGATAGTAAACTGCTTCCTTTACTTGCTATGTATACCTTAATATACATACAGGCAGCCTGGACTTATTTGGTAATTTTGGCTGTAAAAGGGTCAGAAATCATACTATAAGCGAATGCTTTTGCACTTTTCAGAATAACCTCCGCTTTCAATATCTGACAGTCATTTTACATTATTGTATTGTTATGACAATGGAACAGTTTAAAGTGGGAAAAAACACAAAATATGGACTCAGTTTTTTCAGATTTATAGTTAAGTGGAAACTGATATTCAACATGAACAAATGTAACACAACATCAGCTTTAAATATGAACTATACTAAATATGTACAAAAACATTTTTTGAGCCTAAGATCACTCTGTTTTTTTAAAAGTAATAAATCCTACTTGACATTTTTATGGCTTTTATGAAAATAAGTTATAGTGCAAAAAATTAACCACAAATCTTACTAATTAGGAATTTCTAAAACTTTGGACAATTTGTGTTGTCAAAGTAATCCATAACTAATAATAATCTCCAGCTGGACCCCTTTTTTTTGTTTACAAACTATAAGTCATAAACCTGTCAAAATGCAGCAAAAAACTGTCAAAACTACCCATTAATTTGAATGATTAGATTGCAAGACAAAAGCCGTGCAATTTTTACTTCTAGAGTCCTTTTGCAGTAAATCAATAAGATCTAGTTTCATTTTTATGTTACAGAGTTTTTGGGGCAGTTGTCTTCTGTGTTTCTTCTTTCCGTGTGTCCGCTAGTTTGAAAGGCTTGGGCCGCCCTGCCCGTCACAGTTTGTAACTGGTGTCCCGAATCCAAAAAATGTTGAGCAATGAAACAAACCAACAGAAGCCCAGAAGAGTGCAATCAAACAATGAGTTTATTAAAACACACGCAGGAGAAGAAGTATGCAGCATCACATCAGCACACGACTCCTGCTAAGAATACACTTGAAAATGATTTTATAACATCAGGGTTAATGCCCCTTCTCACGTCGACTACAGATCAAATACATCGATTAGATTAAAAGGTACATCTTAGATGGCTAAAAACAGACACAGAAGTTCCTCTTTCTATAACACCTTGCATACACGGCAATGAGTTGCAAGCCTAGATGGTCCCTGAGAGCTTGTCCTTTTCTTGACTTGTCTTCTGTCATCTGTTACTAAGCAAACTAAAATGCGGTTAGAAGCTAAATGAATTTCAGGCCTTTGGCCGGACAGGTTTCTGGATTATATGTGTCGTAAGCGTGTACGCAATCCTTCTGTGCTCCAAGTCACCTACACAGTATGTGAAGACATAGTGCTTCACGAAGCTTAAAACCTTCTTTAATAGACTGAGCATCAACTCTGAATGAGCACAAACATGCAATGTGTATAAAATGATTATGGCTGCACCTGTAATAAAAAGGTTAATATGGTGGCAGTAGCTTTAATAAACATCTTTAATGCAATATCAATGCTGTAGGGTATATTATTAATGCAGTGTTAATAATGCGGGTTATATTGTAGCAGTAAAATAATTTCTGTATCTCCACACTGGTCATGTGACTGGATGGCTACATCTGATTGGTGAAAGAGTTACAGGTAACTCCACTGGCGGGATGATCCATTATTAGTAGTTATCTAATGTGTGAAATGAATTATTTAAAAAAGTGTCAAATATCACTATACAGTTGTACAGTGAGATACAGAGCATCTCCAACTCAGTGCAAACATGTGTGGGTGGGCTGGGGGGTGCACAGTTCTGCAGCACTATATACATCTGAACAGTATTAACAGAAAAAGTATATAAAATGTACAAATATACAATCCAGAGTAAAAAAGTAAATATGTAAATAAATAGTGTTATGTATATACGATTCGGGTTATTGCACATAGAATTTGGTATTGCACGGTCGTGGTTTATAGAGGTAAATGGGAAAATTGGGGGTGGGACTGTGTTATTGGCGCATGTATGAGTTAAGGGTGATTATGGCCTTTGGGAAGAATCTGTTCTTGAGGCTGTGGGTCTTTGTGCTGAGGCTAAAACCAGGCTGGGAACGGTTTTTGATGATGTGTGCTGCTCTACTGAGGCAGCAGGAGAAATAAATGTCCATCAGGGAGGGGAAGAGGGCAGCCAATGATCTTCTGTGCTGCCTCGACTACACTCTGAAGCCTCGCTCTGTCTGCCTTAGTGCAGCTGCCATACCATACTGTGATTCAGTATGTTAGCAGGCTCTCAATGGACGAGCGGTAGAAGGTCAGCAGCAAGTTGGAGTCCAGCTTGTACTTCCTGAGGACCCTCAGGAAGTGCAGCCACTGTTTGGCCTTCTTGACTACTGCTGAGATGTTGTCTGTCCAGGAGATGTCAGCGGAGATGAGGATGTATAGGGGGGTTGAGTCCGTGCTGTGCCTCCTGAAGTCGACAATGACCTCTTTGGTTTTCTTAGTGTTCAGTTCCAGGTTATTTTTGGGTGTAGAGAGAATACAGGAGGGGGCTCAGCACACAGCCCTGTGGGGACCCAGTGCTCAGTGTGCGAGTGGAGGAGAGATGAGAGCCGAGTCCGTTTGTAAGAAAGTCCTTTATCCAGGCACATGTGAGAGGGGGGAGGCCAAGAGTGACTAGGATGGGATGGCTGCCTGATCCAGTGAGAGGTTCAAGATTCTGGTGAAAGTATGCAGGGTTTTTGATTTGGGAAAAACCAAATGCTTTTGTCCACAGTCACAGTTCCAATACAGAACTTGATATAGTCCAGTACTGATCCTGTGAAAGTTTCTAGGTCCTGGTGTTCTGATTCTAATCTGGTTTTGTGAAGCAGTCCTGCTGTTTGGAGAGAGCATTTTCAGGCCAGCTTTTAACAGTTTTTGTGGTGGGCCTGGTACTGTGTTTGAGGGGGGTGTAGGCTGGGAAGAGCAGGAGGGAGAGGTGGTCGGACTGGCCAAGGTGGGGGAGGGGTATGACTCTGTTAAGGGTTCAAATATTGAGGAGGAGAGTAAAAACAACCATGGTCCAGAAGAGCTTGGTCAAACAATTGATTTTAATGACCACACGCAGCGTGGTGAGATGTACACTGCAAAACATCAGCTGTAGATCTCCACCCAAAAAGACACTTCAGATTGCTTTTGATTCATCAGGGTTAACGCCCCCTCATGCGTCATCAGATACAATACATGCATACGTCAAATCAAAACCACAATGACTTTTAACACAGTTTGAAAAGAACATTGTCTCCGTCTCCACGGCAGGTGTCTTTCTGTCGCTGCTGGACACTCGCTTATTGTCTGAAACATCAAGCCCACATCCTGCAAGAAACTGTTCTTTTTTGCAGAGACAGTTTTGCAGTTGCAAGAAAAACATGATTAACCTCTCACCTATAACTAAATCTATCAACTGTGTGTGTGTGTGTGTGTGTATATGTCACAACCTCAGCTGCACTTTGTCTCACCTCTGCTCATAACCTTTCATCAGACAGAAGGCCAGCACGTACACAACTGAAACTATATGTGTAATATATTGAATAAATCTCTTAAGCAAGAACCACTACTAGAAGCTTAATGGAGGAGCCTGGCTGTGGCCTGCTGGCTGGGCCTGCTGGCTGATGGTGGAGCCTGGCTGTGGCCTGCTGGCTGATGGAGGAGCCTGGCTGTGGCCTGCTGGCTGATGGAGGAGCCTGGCTGTGGCCTGCTGGCTGATGGTGGAGCCTGGCTGTGGCTGCTGGCTGATGGGGGAGCCTGGCTGGGGCCTGCTGGCTGATGGTGGAG